GCTTTGGAGACCAGGCTGGCCTTGAACTCACAGAGATCCGCCTGGCTCTGCCTCCCAAGTGCTGGGATTAAAGGCGTGCGCCACCACTGCCTGGCCCACAAAGTCTTTTCTTACGCCATGAATCCTGGGATTACTAAGGACAACACAAGAGGTTGACTACATTGGGGTTTTCCACCTGAGTTTTGGAGGAGACAAAAAACAATGTCCACTACCAAAAAACTTTCTATGACACATACATATTCCTAGACACGACAGAGATTCTGACTTTGGAGGTTTGTGTAAGGACTGGAAATGTACTTCTTACAAACACCTCAAGTGCTCCTCAGGCAATCCAGCCTTTGAGAACGTTGGTTCTAGAATAATGAGCATGATTAGACAAATCAAGAAACATTTCTGGTGGAACAATGTCTTTTCTTCCACTGTGGGGCAAAGGTTAGCTGATCCAGTTGAGGAATGCCACCACCCTCCCACCCACACCCACCCCTGCCCCTGCCAGGAAGGGTGATCATCTTTACTTAGTTCCTGTGGGTGCCATGGCTGCCAGCAATGCACTAACTAGAGCAGTCCCTGCTGCTGGATTTGTGGGCAGCAACCGCATCTGCTAACATGGCTAGTCCATGAACTTACTGTGCTAACATGAGGGTACCTAAGAGCAGAGGCTGGCTAGGAACTGAAAGGCTCGTTTGGACTAGTAAATCCTCCACAGGACACTCTGTCCGATGGATGTTAACATATGCTGCAAAAATATTCACACTCCTTTCTTTTGTTTAGCCTACCCAAACTTTTTTTTTTTTTTTCAGGTGGGTGCTGGGAAGCAAACGCCAGTCCTCTGGAAGATCATCGAATACTCTTAAATGAGGAGCCATCTCTCCAGCCCACTAGATTTTTGAGTGGGTCTCAGGAATCACAAGATGTCCATAGCTAAGTCGATGGTCCTCCCTCCCTGTAACATGAATTCCTAAATGGTCTTTATAATAAAAAACCTGGAGCCTGATACTGGAGTGAAAGCTGAGAGATCAAAGAAGCAGAACAAGCCACAGCTACCACCTCTTACCTCACGAACTCCTCAGCCTGAAAGCCTCTAGCTGAAAGGGACGCTCCTGCGGAAAAGCCTTTAACAAAAGGGCTCTAGTTCCTGTCTTCTCACACCTTATAAACATTTCTCCACCCAGCCATGTCACTTCCTGTCTCAACCTTCCTACTGCTGGGATTAAAGGCCTGTGTGCTTCCCAAATACTGGGATTAAAGGTGTGTGCCACCACTGCCTGGCTCTGTTTCTCTCCTAGATTGAGTCAATCTCATGTAGTCCAGGGTGGCTTTGAACTCACAGAGATCCAGTCGGATCTCTGCCTCCTGAGTGCTAGGATTAAAGGTGTGTGCCACTACTGCCTGGCCTCTATGTTTAATCTAGTGGCTTGTTCTGTCCTCTGATCTGCAGGCAAAGTTTATTAGGGTACACAATATATCACCACACCTCCTTGCAATAAACTGACGTTACTGGATGTAAAAGACACCTGCTCTGGGCCGGTGAGTCTGCTCACTAGGTAAAGACACCTGCCTTCGAGGCCAAGGAAAGGGAACTTTTAAAGAAAGATTTATTTATTTATTTATTTATTTATTTATTTATTAATTAAATGTGCACTGATGTTTTGCCTGTATATACTCTGTGTGAGGGTGTCCGACGATCCTTTGGACCTGGAGTTACATACAAGTTGTGAGCTGCTGTGAGGGTGCTGGGAATCGAACCCCGCGTCCACTAAGTGTGTGTGTGTGTGTGTGTGTGTGTGTGTGTGTGTGTGTGTGTGTGTATGTGTGTGTGTGTGTATTTTGTGCACCACATACATGCAGTGCCTTCGGAGACCCGAAGGGGGCGTTGGGGCCCCTGAACTGGAGTTTGCAGTTGTGAGCTACCAGACGGGCGCTGGGAATCAAGCCCAAGTCCTCCACGAGAGCAGCCTATGCTCTTACCCGCTGAGCCGTCTCTCTAGCTTCAGATGCCGCATTTCTGATCGCAGTGTGCCGGGTGCCCGCTGAGGATCGGGAGTGGGGAGGGGGGGGCAGTACTCCGCGGGGTGCCTCCTTCCGGTGAGAGGTCGGGGGACAGCCTCCTGGCCCAGACCTTTGGGGCGACGGTGGCAGCAACCCCAAGCCGCTTGCTTGAAGCAGATGCTAGCGCGGCGCTGGGCCGGGCCCTTCGAGCCCTTCCCCGCGGAGCACGCCGGGTCTGCGGTCGCGCCATGCCCCGCCGCACCCCGAGTGGCCCGAGCGCGGCGGAGTCTGCCCGGGATCACCTCAGTGGGACCCCCGCCGCCCGGAGCCGGGAGCGCGGGGCCTCCCCGAGCCTAACCAAGGAGGCGCGCGTCCCGGGGACTCGCGCGCCGGAAGTGACGTTTCGGGTGCCGCGCGCTCCCGCCGTGCCTTGCGCCGCCGTCCTGTGGCGGGAACCGCGGCTCCGGGGGGCGACGGCGGCGCCTTGTAAGTGTCGGTTCTGGCTGTTCTCGGCCTGGGTCCGGGTTTGGCGGGGTCCGGGCTGAGTCCTCCAGCTCCGCGGTGGTCGCTGCAGACCGCGGCTCGGGCGGCATTGTCGTCGGCAGCCCGCGGCGGGAGGCAGCGACCGGAGAGTGGCCTCAGACCAGCGACCGCGCGCTGTTTCCCCGCGCATGAGTGAAGAACCTGTGTGCCCGGCCCCAGAGCCACGCGTTTGCAGTCGTTGACTCTATGGACTCGCCTTTAGCCCCGTCTTCACATTTCATTTGGTAAAGCGTTTGCCGAGTGTTGTGGAGCCGGGCACGTCTAAGCCCCGACGGTATAGCAGTGGGGAAAGGAAAAAAACAAAACAAACAAACAAAAAAATTCCACGTTGCCATCGATGCTGGGCGATGTCAGAGAAGCCGGCGATAGCGGAGGGGTGGTGGTTTTTGAAGCCCCTGAAAATAGCCCCCTAAGAGTGTTCATGTATCAGTAATTAGTTTTTGTATAAAACTTAACATTTTCTCGTTTTGATATGAGTTTATCGGAACAGTAGCTGTTGCCCACATAGCAAGGTCCCACCTTCCCCTCCCCGCCCGCGAGTCTCTGAAGACCTGCATTGGCTTTGCCAGTACAGCTGCGCTCAAGGCCCAAGAAGAGATGATATTGGTCAACTGTTTATATGTGTCTCAGAATTCCTTACCTATAGGTTCTTCAAGCCCTCTTAAGACCCTGTGACCCTGAGTGCATTCAGAGCATCCTAGGTCATGAGGCGATGCACTTTATTGAGTAATGGTTGAATGCCTTTGCAATAGCTTAGGTGCCCTTTCCCGGGGAACTTGCTCATAATGGTTTCTTTTTCTTTTGTCTTATACCCAGGAGAAGAAACCATGCAGGCATTTCTAAAAGGCACATCTGGCAGTACCAAACCTCAGTTTACCAAGGACCGGGCAGTATCTGCCAGCGCAGGAAGCAGTGGAGAAACTAAGAAAACCAAACCGGTTCCTTGGGTGGAAAAATAGTAAGAATTACTCACACTTTTGTTGAAATAACTAATAAGTTTCCTCTCAAATCAGTGCTGGTCCACTTTTTTTTTAAATGTAAGGGGGAATTGCCTTATTTGGATGCTACCTTTGAGTGGGGGGAAAAATTACCCAATTATAAAAGTTATGGGTCCTTGGACTGATATAGTAGCTGGGTTTAACTCTGTTATTTTATAAATGAGCTAAGATTTTTATAAAGTGCAGTTTTAGGGTCTTAAATACAGAAATGAAGAAAACGTTTCTGTGAGCTGGCTATACACGGTAGTTATACTGACATCTAGATTCTGTCCCCCTTTTATTATATACTGGAAATTGTTGGGGTTGTTTTGTTTTGTTTTTTAGCATTAAAAAAGAAGGTTTGAAGTAGCACTAAATTGTCATCAGCTAAGTGATACTAGACGTAATCGTAATCATTAGCTAGATGTAACCTCTGTGATTACCAAGGGTTTTCAGGTTATTTACAAGCCAAACAAAGCTGTTTTCTTGATTTAGGCTTTTTTGCTTTTTTTCTTTTCTTTTCTTTTTTTTTTTTTTTGAGAAATTTAAATATGAGTACATCTACATCATTCCCATCCTTCCCTTGCCCCAACTTTTCCCATGTTCCCTCCCCACAAAGCCAGTGCTTATAACAATCGAGATTTTTTTTTTTTTTAAATTTAACGTGTGTTCCAGGCATCAAACTTGGGTTCATCAGACTTGGCAATGAGTGCCTTTGCCTCCCGAGCTGTCTTGCCAGCCCCCAAACTGGATTTTTTTTTTTTTTAATTTAAAAATATATGGGGAAGAGAGGAATCTAGATTTTCAGCTTCTCCATTTTCAGTTTGATATTGGAATACACGTGATAGAATGTGAGAACCTAACTCCTAAAAGCTGTCCTGACTTCCATGTGTGACTCAAGGCATGCTTGCTATGGATGGCATGCATCCTCCTTCCCCAACAATAAATGTGAAGAAATACAGACTTGGGGGCTAGAGGATAGTTGTAGCAGACAGTTGTGGATACAAGTTCTTACATGACAGTCAGACTGTGCTGCTTCTCCTTTGGAGAAGGCCTTACATCACCGTGTAGCTGCTGTTCATCGTTTTCATTGTTACCTGTCTAATCCTTGCAGGTGTTTGGATAAGACTCTGACTTAGAGCACACACAGTGATTCTTGCCCAGTGTTAACCTGACTAATTATAAAAATGTGGGTCGAAGAATTTTGGGGCCAGTGAAAAGGCTCAGTCAGTGGAGAAAAACACTTGCTGTATAAACCTGACAACATAAGGGTGATCCCTGAACACCACAGTAGAAGGAGAGAAATGACTCCTGAAAGTTGTTCCCTTACATCATCTCTCTCTCTCTCTCTCTCTCTCTCTCTCTCTCTCTCTCTCACACACACACACACACACACACACACACATACACACAAAACAAGTAAGTTTGAATTGTTTTTATTTTAGGTTACATGTATGAGTGCTTGGCCTGCAGTATATGCCGGTGCACCATGTGTTTACCTGGTGCCCATAGAGGCCAGAAAAGGGTATCAGAGCCTATAGGACTACAGTTAGAGATGGTTATAAGCTACCGTGTGGGCACTGGGAATTGAACCCAGGTCCTCTGGCAGAGCAACAGGTGCTCTTAACCACTGAGCCATCTCTGTAGCCCCATAAAACTTTCTTTTTTTTTTTTTTAGATTTATTTATTTATTATGTATACAGAAGAGGGCACCAGATCTCATTACAGATGGTTGTGAGCCACCATGTGGTTGCTGGGAATTGAACTCAGGACCTCTGGAAGAGCAGTCAGTGCTCTTAACCTCTGAGCCATCTCTCCAGCCCCTCATAAAACTTTCTTAAAAGAATGTTTCATTAATTTACTAAGCAGAAACCTCAGTCATAGAATTTGGGAGAACAACTTTGTCATAATAATTACTAACTAGTGGCTCACACCTTTAGTCAGAGTACTGGAAAGGCAGAGTCAGGCGGATATCTGTAGTCCAGATAGTAAGTTCCAAGATAGCCGGAGCCACAGAGTGAGACCTTGTCTCACAATATAAAAAATGACTTACTAATTTTACTAATAAATGACTTACGATAAAAGGCAGAGGCAGGCAGATCTCTGAGGTCAATCAAGGCTAGAGTGAGTTCCAGGATAACCAGGACTAAACAGAGCAAAACGGTCTCAAACAAAACAAAAAAGATCTCCTTTATTTTGTTGTAGCTGGGTGTTAGAAAAAACAGTACTAACCATTTAATGTCTTAGCTGAGAGAGAGTGTGTGTGTGTGATTGTTTATTTGTTTTAAGCAAAGTAGTTGCCCAATTGTTAGAGAGGTCATTTTGTAGACCAGTGTTCGCTTTCTTTTTTCTTTTTTTAAGACAAGGTCTGACTGTAGCCCTGACTGTCCTGGAATACACTATGTAGACCAGGTTGGCTTCAAACGCAGAGATCCTCCTACCTCTGCCTCCCCGTTGCTAGGATCAAAGAGGTGAGCCTACACACTTTAATTGGTTCACTTTAAATTCCTATGCTTAATATTTTATGCATGCAGTACAGGTAGAAGCAAAAATAATTGCATCCAGTAGTATGTATTTGCTTAAGGTAAATACAAATGAAGGTTCTGCCTACTTCCGATTTCATAACGAATATGTAAGAGCTATCATTGGTGTTTTAGCAGAAGGAACACTTGATTATTCTACAGCTATCACATATGCTAAAGAACCTTCCTTCCCTCTACCCTTCAGTCGTCCAAAGTGTGTGGATGAAGTTGCTTTCCAGGAAGAAGTGGTTGCAGTGCTTAAAAAGTCTTTAGAAGGAGCTGATGTAAGTAGATGGTGTTTGATGGCATTGGGAAGTTAGAATTTATTCACCTTTTCCTTTATTTTAAACTTTTATCCATAAATATACCCTTAAATATATGCTATAAGTCTTGATACTATTTATAAAACAATAATCATCTTCTATGTGGTATTCTTAGTATTCAAGTAAGGATCACTGAATAAAGCCGGTGGTGGTAGCATACACCTTTAATCCCAGCATTGGGGGTGACGGTGGGGGGGTGGGGAATCTCTGTGAGTTTGAGGCCAGCCTGGTCTACAGAGTGAGTTCCAGGACAGCCATGGCTACACAGAGAAACTCTGTCTGGAAAAACAACAACAACAAAAAAGATCACTGAAGAAGATAGATTAGGGCCCTTTCTCCATGAGCTTTTATTTTGGAGAGGAAAGAGACTAAACAAGTAAATCAAATCGATCTAAACATGTTACAAGTAATTACAAATAAGTGTTATAGAAGAATCCATTTTAAAATAGGTATAGTTGGCTGGGTGTGGTGCCATGTGCCTTTAATTCCAACACTCCAGAGGCACAGGCCACTCTGGTCTACATATAGTACATTCCAGGACAGCCGCAGTGAGACCCTGTCTGAAACGTGTGTATGTGTGACTGCATAATTTTTTATCGTAGCTTTATTAAAAAAATAGAGTATTTGATTCTTAGAGCACTACATTTCCTGCCGTGTTTAGGTAACTTGTTTTTTAAATCATTAGAGTCAACATAAGCCCATTTGAAGAGTTAAAAGGTTTGTTTGGTTTAGTTTTTTGAGACTGGGTTTTATGTACTCTAAGCTAGCCTGAACTCTCAGCATAGCTGAGATACCCTCATATTTCAGATCCTCCTGTTTCTATCTCCCAAATGATGTGATTGCAGGCGTGTGCCAGAACACCTAGCTGAGTAAGCAGTTTTAAATGGTATTTGAAGAGGTGTCCCCATGCCTCATGAGCTCAGTGCAGAAAGGGATCCCGAGGTGAGCATAGGAAATCAGTTTTGCTTCATTCTTCAGTTCTGTCTCCTAAACCTGGCTG